TATATATATATATATATATATATATATATATATATAATATGGAAATATAGAATAATATGGTTTGAAACATCTATGATATTTTAAGTAAAATGGTACTTAATATTAAATATTTAAGAATATTTAATATTAAATATTTATTAAAACAAAAAAAGATATATCTTATATAATCAACATAAGATGTAACATAAATGTAAAATATTACTATTAATTATAATAAATATATAATGACTTTTGCTACAAATTCTCAGCTTCTTTTTTAAATTTAAATTTCAGTTATAAAAGATGTAGTGCAAATATACAACATTGTTTGTAACAATACATTTGTAATAATAATGAAAACGTAATAAACACTTTTGCTACACTTTTATATCAGTACGATATTTGAAATCTTGAAAAATTACAACTTAAATTTTAAATATAAATTGAACATGTAACTGCACGTATGAGCAAGAAATACTGCGCTCGCAGTTTATCGCAGTCTCTTTTGTAGCAGACCGCCAGCATCGCCGTTGCAGTCGCCGCTGACGGCGTCAACGGCGTCCTAGCCGCCTACATGCCTTTCATCGATAACGTTATTTTATTTGATTTATTTATTTAAAATCGTCTATGTAGTTTAGAATAATGTAAAATATAATAAAAGAAAGATAATTTTATTTTTTAAAGTATCTTAAGGGCTACTATGAAACTCAAGGAAATATTTAATGTTTTCTTGTAATCTATGAGGAAATGAAGCGGCCGTTGGCGTTTTCAGACTCTGATGACGGCCGTTCTTGCCGGCAAAAATCTCTGCGTCATTTCTTTTATCGGTTTTAACGAAATATGAGATATGACACAATTTAAAATTTGCTAAAAAATTACACAATCATGACAACGTTTATGTTGGGTTTAAAAACATTATTTCAATGTAATTTAATTTAAGAATATCGGAAAAATAGTTCAAGGAGCGCCGTAACGCCGCCGTTTGCGGCGAATAGCGCGTTTAGCCGCCACTGCGTACTAAATTCTTGCTACAGACAGAGATAACGAGCAACTGCAGTTTCATATTTATACATATCTTTTACATGAAAATCATTTTCAAATTTTAATTTAATCGAATTTAATCGAATTTTGGGATATATTAGAAGGATAATTAGAAGGATAATTAAATTTGTATTACTAAGAAGTCTTTAGTTTGATACTTTATTTTTTGTTTTATTAGCCGTAATTTAGTGTAATTTATCATTTTATTACCATTTTACATTTTCACTGTTACTGACGCATTTTAATCTTAATTTTCCAAGTAATGCTATTGGCATAATTGTTGTATCTCTTTGTTCCTTTCAATGAGAAATTAAAAACCATGGCTAATAAAATAAATATTCAGCCATTGCTTAAAATAAAAATATTTTTAATGAAAGAATGTATAATTTCTAATGTAGAATAGCCGTAGTAAAATGCGGTAAACAACTTGTTGAATATGATTAATTTACATATAATATAAAAAATAATAGCAAATTATAAAAAAGAGAGAAAAATAAAAATCAAAATGAATTTTAATGATTTCTTATGTTAGTATTCAAATTATTGTAATAATTATTGTGAACAATGTATTCATTAGGAAAATAACTATATGTCTTCATAATAATAATAGAATTTTATTATTTTTCATTTAACAAGAACTGATACAATTATATATATAATTGTAATATATACATATATTAAAATACATATACGTACAAAATACGGATCCATGTTTGAATGTATGTATAAAATGAACAATATTTATATTTTTATATTTGAATGTAATGTAAGTTACTTTTTTAGCCACAAAATTGTTATTTATTTAGCAGTCTTTGCTTGGAAATGATCCATAATTATAATAGGAATTTCTTTAAGTATAAGCGATCGTGATATACCAGAATATTTTGTAAATAATTCTAGAATATGTAAAGTATTATATCCTTCGGATTCTCCATCACTTCCTGTTTTTATACTGGATACAAAGAATAATGGTTTTAATACACATAATAATAATTTTTTTTTTTAATACTTCAAAATAAAAAATCGATATACCTATCTGTAGTAACACATGAAAGAACGTATACACAAAGATATTTAACATAACGCGTCATTGCAGAAAAGGTACATTGACGTAAAATAGTTTGTACTCCGATAACGAAAACTACAGCATCAAGAGGATCTTGAGGTCTTTTACTTAAAAGACTACCTGCAATTGTTTTGTATAAAATTAATTTATATTTATTACTTATTAATATAAAATTACGTATATATTTAAATTACCTGTGTTTTTACAATAGTGTAATTTAGGTAATTGTAATATAGTAAGTAAAAACATAATAAGTGCAATGTTATTTATATTTGGTGATTTAATATAAATATTATTATGTGGATTACTTATGCCCGCCCAATCTAATCTAATATTAAGCTCGCGTAATAATTCATTCTTCCCAGTATCAGATTGTTCGTTGCTATTTTGTTTATTAATTTCAAATAATACAGCTCTGAAAATCATAAAAATATGAGAGATGAGAAGATTAATATGAACAAAAAATATTTTCTGTATATTTGCACATACGTGTTTAATGTTTGCAATGCTGCTTCCATATGCTTTGCTTCAAATTTACAAGCTGTGTTTAATTCATATGCTATTTTTTTCTTAAGAAGTTGATAATGTCCAATTTTTAATACATAATCAAGTAATTGTGGGCAAAATTTACTTGTTTGAGTAGTAACAGAACTGTGAAATTTTGACATATTACCTAAATACAAATATATTCGACAAAATAAATATGTGATTACTAATATTTAATTGATATGTAATATGAATAACATTCATTACTACATAATAATACCTTTAGGACTATCCACAGAATTTAGTATTGCATCAAAATAATCAATTGTAGATGACCACACTTTGTTACGTATATTTTTTTCTATGTAGTGAACCATATTGCTTAATTCAATAACAATATAAAATGAAATAAGTTTGTCAAGACCAGTTAAACCAGGTGTACCGATTGCTTCTAATGTTCTTGAAAAAATTTTATAATTTAATACTTCCATTTGTGTTTTGAGATCATACCAGGCAAGGGAATGTTCAATATAGACAGTCGTTCTAAAAATATCAATGTAAAAGTTATTAACTAACACTAATATAATAATAATAATGCTTAAAATAATAGTATAAAAAAATAAATGATACAAAATAATAGAGTACATGTAGTCAAGTAGTATGAAAGAAAAATTTACCTAGGATCTGTGATTCGAAGTAATTCACGAGCAAGTCTACCAATAAAAGTTGCAGAATTATTGTCTGAAATAGAAACATGTTTTTCCTCTTGAAAGTACCTCCATGATCTTCCTGAGGTCCAGGAAGAGCCTGAACATTCTTCTTCTACTGCATTATTTATAATGTATGTTATCTGTGAAAATGATCAGAATCATAAGTTTATCCGAATATAAACAAATTAAATATCTCAAATATTTATGAATTTACATACTTCTTCATGCCATATTTTTAAGCTATTAATATTGATATAATCTTGAATATATTGGAACGATTTGCGGTAACCATCTATTATTGCTGTTAAATTATGAAGTTTTTGTAACAATGATATCTGAAATGATATCACTGATAACAATTGTTATTAACAAAATATTTTTACGATAAAAAACTAAAATAAAAACTAACTTTTGATTTTGGTTCAAAAACAAGACCATTATCTAAAGCTAGTGTTACTTTTTTTACAAGTTCTTGTCGTATACCATCTTCTAAAAGACGATGAGAATCGACTCTTAATACACCTAATGGAACACTTCTTAAGGATAATACACCCTTTGTAAATACTGATACAGCGTATGTTAATTTAGCCATCTAAAATAAGTAATTGTTATACGATTAAATTTTATTTGATTTACATTAAAAAGAATATTAGAAATATATACTTTTAATCTATCATCTAATTGTGCATAATCTTTCAATTTGTCTTTCGGCAGTTTAGTAGGAATTTCTTTAAAAGCATTGGTTTCAAGATGTACTATTTCAGCAAGTAAACCAAATACAGTTTCAGGTATTATTTGCAGGACACGCCTTGCATATTTTTCTAATTCTCTGCTATAGTACTGTGATACCGACGACAAATCTGCACTACGTGCTTGATTTACTCTCAATAAAGGAGTTTCTAAAGCTGAGGCCATCTAAAAATGAATAAGTATAATAAATGTGGTGTAATAGTATAGTAGCTATACTACAAATAAAATTTAATTTAAAATTAGAAGTAAAAGTTTACTTTCAAAAAAAGCGCTTTTAATTTTATTACAGTAGGAGGACTTTCTTTTATACTAGCTTGCATTGTATCAATGAATGATTCCATTATATTCCATGCATAACAACAATCTGTGACTATATTTAAACTTATCATAGTATCTTCTGTTATGCTTCCTGTACGTAGCATATTATGCAATATTTCTCGTGTATCAGCTAGATATTGTGATATATGTAAATTGTTTTCCAATTGATGAAATTCTGAAATTATTATTGAAATTAGAATTTAAACAAAAATTGGAATTAAACTCAAATTTTATTATGATTTTTTATTATCAATTCAACATCATAATGAATTGAATTTAGAATTAAATCACAATTTCTTCCATTATATACCTTGCACTTCTTCTAATGCCTGTAGTAATTGCACTATTTTTCTCCCATCCTCTTGTTGTAATGAATTAATATGTTTACTTATCTCCATAAACCAAGTATGGAGATTTTGATTTCTTTCAATACCATCAAGTGATTTATTACCACCAAATATTTGGGCAAGATCTGTTATACGTTCAACACATGTTCCTTTAGCTCTAAGCCATTTAGTTTCTTTACCAAATAATAACTAAAAATTGAAAATGAAGTTAAGAATATAAAACATTTCCTGAATTTTTTACATAATCATATGATATAAAAAATCGTACGTCTTTATATAATTGTTTAACGCCTTGCTCAATTTGAGCAGTACTTAATAACAATTGAAGACAATTAGATGTAGTATATTTGCTTTCAGTCACTACTAATTGCCTAAGCATACGCGATCGTTTTGAATCTTCTAATGATATAGTTGATGTTGCAGAATGTAAAAGTATCCAATGTAATGTTACATTACATTCCCTTACTAATTTCACTAAAGAACCTATTGCACTCTCATCTAAAGTCACCGCTAGTTGTATTTCCTCTGTTTCAGGTATTAATTTCTAAAATAAATTTTTAACATAATGAATAATGTATACACATGTACATACTATATTTTGACACTAAATAAAAATAAAATAAACTAAAAAATTTGCATAGATTTTATATAATTTATTATTTTAAAATTAAACATTTGAGAAACACTATTATTAAAAATAAAAAAATAGTTACCTTCATTTTTTGACCATAGTTTTGTGCTATTACTTTTACATTTGATGATTCTAGAGTATTATTAAGTGCTGTTCTTGCTGCTTTGTATGGTAACCACCAATCACATAAATTTATTACTATTCCCATATAAATACTGATCACCCAGTTATCAGGGAAAAATCTGTCCACTATTTCTCTCATTATAGCTGTGTGAGTATGTAACATGGCTGGTTTAAATGATAAAATTATAACTAACATTGATGCTTGATTAGAGAGAGCAGTGCTGCGATGTTTTGGATGTGGGAAAGCAAGACTTTGATTATATATTTCATCAGAACGTAAACGTCCAATAATATGTTCAATTAAGGAATCATTTAGTGATACTCTCCTGCAAAATCAATTTTTTATTAAACAGAAAAAAATATGTACATATTGATAACATGATGAAATGGCTATATATAGAATATTATAATATTATTATATTATTATTATTCTATTATAGAATTATTCTACTATAGAATATTATTATTCTATTATAATATTATTATAATATATATATATAGAATATTTTAAGAACTTACTTAAAATATTCTTCAGGATAATTTGCAGGTCGTTTATTAGAAATTTTTGAAAATCCTGTCGATCGTAATAACATGCATACATCATCTACTCTTGTAGAGGATGAACGTTGAGCATTGTATCGATAGTAAGAAACAAGTAATCTTTCTCTTATACATCCTTCAAAATGATAATCCACCAAAAGTAACATAACACCATATAAATATACTGCTTCACACTATTAATATAAATATGAGTATTATGCCTGTTCTTTATCTTGAACAAATATCTTCAAAAATTTTATTATACAAATATTACAATTACACGATAAAATTTGTAATGTTCTATCAATTTTCTAATAATTTTTACATGAAAACAAATTATTTAATAAAAAAAATTTAGAATTTAATCTAATTTAAGACTAATTTAATCTAATTTAATCTAATTTAAGACTATACTTCATATAAGTTTTAAATATAATTTAAAACAGACTTACTTCAAAAATAGTCAAAGTAAATTTGATACTCAATCGTTTAATTTAAATTTGATGAATAATAAGAAATAATATATCCATATTTTGTATAAAAATAGCAATATAAATCTATACTGTAATATTTACAAATTGCAAAAATACCATTAATTGTCTTCCTTCTTCATTGAGCATTATAGTATCTACAGACTGGTGAATATATATTCCATCTCCTAACTCGTCTACATACAAATTTAAATCTGTTACATATTTGTGTATACTTTCAAAAGCTAAGTAAAATCTGGAAATTATGTCGGAAAAGTTGTTTCGCAATTCTTCATCTGTCTCTTGAAGCACCTAAAAGACATAACATCTAAAGCAATTGATGCAAACTTAGATAATCTTATTGTGTAGAAAACAAAAAATACAATGATATGATATACAATCGCATAAAGTTTAATGCAAATTTCAAACAAATGTTAAAGTTTACTTATTATTTTCTATATACTCACTGGATCACTTTCTATTTTCTGTTCATAAGTACTAACTGACTTAAAATATACAAAATCAATTATAATAGATCCATACTTTTGCACAATTTGTTTTGAATCCAAGCTGTAACGTGAAAGAAAACTAATGTAACATATTTACGATATAATTTATACAATTTATCATGAGTAATAATTTAGGTTCATTGGAATTTAATAATTCTGTCATAAGTGATGTTTATGTTATCAACAAAGCATTTATAATATTTTATAGGGTATAAATAACCTAAATACAGGTGGTACGTAATCTTTTAATCTCATTAATTCTGCTATAATAGCATTTCCACGAGAGACCAATCGTAACAAATTTTGCCCACAAATGTTATTAGATGCCAAGAAGTCACCCATTTTGTGTTTATTTTAACATAGACAGTTGATAATTCATTGACATCGTTTTACCGACGTCAACAATCTTATTGGCGCGAAAAGAGTAAGGGAAACTGTCATTTGATTAATTTCAATACGAGTTGATCAAAACATCGTGGAGACTGTTGTCAACAGCGGTAGATGTTTTTCGAAAATTTTAGAACAGACTATGTCAATGATGTGTGTTTCACGAATTTAAAAAATATGATATAGCATAAGAAATGATTGTAGCTCGTAAAAATAAAATGTATTTTATTAAATGTAAGACATTATTTAATATATACAGATAATGTATAATTTTCGAAATAAAAAATATTACAATTTTCGCCCTTTTGTAATATTCGATATTTCAGGACAAATAACCAAGAGACTTTTATAATTATTTTATACTATATTTTGTTTGATGAAACATTTTATTACTGTCTTTTTGTTTCATTCTGATAAATCTTTATTTTATATATTTAAATTTGGTATTGTACTTTTTTTTATTGTATACAATGATTTATTATGGGAATGATTATATTGTTTCATATTTCAAAATGCAGATTAATAAAATAAAATTTTACATTTCTACAAAAATTACAGGTAATCATACAGACTGTTTTCTCGCAGCTTATCTGCTGTATATGGAATACAATAACATAACCTGAAAATCTAACATGAACGCAACATAAACTTAACAAAAAGATATATAAATATTATATACGAACATATTCTGTTTTATATAATTTCATTTTGTGAATATGAAATGAAATGAAAGTGATATAGAGATTGTAAAAGTTCAAGATAGAAATATTTATAAAAGTATAGTCAATTATATGAAACAATGTTGAATATTTTGTCTTATATAAACGCAACGAACTCTGTTTGTAAATTACGAGTTGTTTATCAATCGTTGATAAAAACTGCTAAATATAGAAATTCGGTGGTTTGTAGATCTTTTAATTCTTCATCCAAACCTGCATTTGAAACAAAAAATACAAGGTACATAATAAGAAAATATATATAATAATATTTATAAGAAAAATGCTACCTTTTGTAGATTATAAAATATCAAATATATATTTCATTTATGCAATCGTAGAGAATGTAGCAAACAATTTGTTGATATAACAAATATAAATACAAATGTACAAAACAATGTAATATTGTACAAAAATACCACTAATACCATATTTTTGAAAATAATTTTTTTTGGATGGGGTTTTTGTAATATTATATTAACGCTTATTACCTTTAATCCAAAATATATATCAATGTGGTTTGAAGATTTAACTTGGAAAGAATACTTTAAAAGAAATGGATTAACATGGATATATTTTATATATTCCATACTAGCAGGTAACATATAATATGTATAATTAATTTTTACATATTTATGAAATTTTATACAACCTTTACAACGTAAAATGATTAATTTATACTTGTATTGATGGTTGACATATAAAATTAGTTTCTTTTTTACTTTATAAATATAAGCATTGTGTTAAAGATTTTTTTTATATAAATATATATTTTAATGTCTAGCACCTCTTGGCTGTGCAGCGTTATATATATATAATCAGAGAATTATAAAATACATAATTTTACACAAAGGTGGTGAAAATATATCAATAGTTACTAATCATGTATTTAAAAATATTAATATTATAACACTTCCTCTTGAAAAGGTATATATTTTTATTGAAATTGATTGTTAATAGTTATAAAACATTATTTTTATTTTATTTTGCAGTATATAGCTAAGTTAGTTATAATATTTTATAGTTTCATTTAGATAAATTAAAATTAATATCATTTTTTATGTAGTTATGAACTAAAAATATGATGTGATATGATTAAAATTATTTAATAATTAATTTAAAATAATAAATAGTTAATTACGTATGCTTTATTTTTAAGGTAAAGACTACAATGGCAAGAGATCAAGTGAAAAGTTATTTGCCATTGAAAATTCAAGGCAAGAAGTTTTTTTATCTTGTTGATAATAACGGACAATTTTTCAATGAAAAATTATTTGATTATACAGTTGGAAAGGCAAAAGCTTGGTAGAGATATTTTATAAATTGTATGTATATTACAAATAAATTATTACAAGTAAATTAGAAATGTAATATAATTATTCAATATATCTTTTTATTTTTATTAGAAAAAAAATGAAAGTTGGAAATATTGCTAGAATATATATTATAATGCTTATAAAGATAAATTATAAAGATAAAATATATTTATATAAAATAAAATATGTGTATGAAATAAATAATTACTATTTATACAAAATAGAGATTGAAAATATAGATAATAGAACTAAATTTAAAATTTTCAGTATGTTAGTATGATTAATGTATATATTTTAATATACATTTCTTTTATTTTGAAATTAATTTATATGTAAATTATGTTACATTATTATAAATATATTGAATATGTTCACATTTACATCAAGTATATATTTCCTTCTTTAATATCTTTGTCGATCATAATATTTATGTGAATACTTGTTCAAATGATCGCTATATCCATCATCATGATATTTATCTTCTGCCTTATAATACACTTCAGGTGCTGAACCTACATGTCCTTGCCAATATCGAGTCCAATAAAGATCCTCTGGATTGATATCATGTGGATGTTTTGCATTTCGAAATACATGTACGCAATATATGAGGCTTCCTATCAATGTTAAGAATCCAAAGATAAGAAAAACTATTCCCAAAATCCTAAAAAAGTCCCAAAATCTTAATTCGAAAAAATAAATTTATTTATAGTGTGTAATATTTATTTATATTGTTTTGCATAAAATTGAAGAGAAATTAATTCTTACCAGACTATTAATGGTTGAAAAAATTGAATTACTATAACAAAACCTAATGCAATAAGAATTAAACCGAGATTAAGAAGTAACATAAGACAGCAAACTCCTTTGGTATTTGGACAAAAAGGATTAGGCGTTGACATGGTTTCTATAATAATACCATCTTTTCTTGATGTATGAGATTTTACTGATTTTGCAGAACCGTAACTACAATGACTAGGTGCGCGATGTCCTAATCTTGAACTTGGTGTTAGACTATGATGTGACACGTGGCTGTTGATTAAATAATAATAAGATTTATGATACAATTACACACACATATATAACATATTATATTTTATTGTAATTACAACCTTATATCTGAAGTTGTTCTATATGCAGCACTTGTAACATATATATCTGAACCATTGTCACATATGCTACCGTGTGAAGTACTTTTACTGAGAGGATGAAGACTATGTCTTGAAGATCCAGATAAAACTGAACCACGATTATTGTGTATATTTCGCAATTGTCTCCCTTCTTCCTTTTCATATTTGTCTGAATGGTCTTTTTTTGTTGATTTCATCTGTCAAATTTAAATATACATATAATAGATTTGTTGAATGTTATATTGTGATAGTAAATATTATTAAAAAAGAACAATTTGTATCATGCATATATCACATTATTGAAATATATGTAGAATACAAACTTTTATAATAATTTACAAATTAATAAAAGTATATGTTTACAATTATAAATATAAGTTGCAAATTACCATTGTAGCATGGTCAGTAGCTACAATATATTCAGATACTGTATGATCTGATGGTACAGGATGACTATCATTTTCATCTGTTAAATATTCTCTATTTATGTTATTATAATATCCCAAATATCTTGAGTTATTTGTCATTATGATATTTGAATTTTATAATTTATCTAAAATGCATAAGAAATTTATTTACAGTTTATTCTTTTATCTCATTAATATAAAAAAATAATTACACAATGGTTAAATAATATTATAATAAAGAAAATTTATGCTCTTTATTTGAGTAAAACTTACTTCATAAATGATAAATGATATTTTTGTATATCACAAATTTCAAAAGAAAATTTTAATTTTATACTTAAATATTAATTTAACATTGCCTGTAAAAATTATTATTAAATGTTACACTTAAAATTCCTCTGACAATATTATATAATAACATGTAATTGATAATCGATAAATGAATTTATTATTTATTAGCATTTGCTTTAGATCAAGTATATCAAATGTAAGTAAATCATCAAATATAAGGAATATGTGTGTTGCATTTTTTTTTTTAAATAATGCGGGGGCAATAAAATAGGAGCGATGTCTACAATGAATTGCAAAATACACAATTATCATAGAATCTTTTGATTGCACAGTACGTATGACAACATTCTGTCGCGGTCATAAACTCCTAATTTAGTAATATGATGTCATTTGACAAGGTCATATATGCATCCTTAATCAGTAAATGTAATCATTAAAAACTTTTATTTTTGATTTGAATATTTTTTATTTATTAATCTGGAATTTTCATTGATTTGTATATGTATAATTTATTCATAGTAAAAGTATAAGTGATTAAATTAAATCGACAAAATTCAAAATTAAAATCAAAATCAGACAAATATATATATTTTATATCATTTTTATTATTATTACGTTAAATGATGTTAATTTTTTGATTACTGTCTAAAATTTTTTATTTTGTTCCATCATGCGAAAAAAACGTATTTTTGTCAAGAAAATTAAGAAAACGTCGAAGGATAATGCTGAAAGATTTACTTGCGCAAGCGCCATAAATCGTGTCAGCTTAGAACTAAACACATATTGCCCTTTAATTTGCATTTATTTTCATTGATTTATTTAATTCGAAGACAAAAATTTCGTATCTGACTGGAAAACGTGTACAAAAAAGCAGCGTGCAAACTCGCATAGTTATTAATAAATATCGCATAGTTATGTACTTCAATAAACCAGGTGTAGCAAGATTGATATTTATCGTACCTGATGATACTCATATTGGAGAGATTTGTCGAAAGCAAATTCTATGTGTAAATTTGAGATTTAGATCTTGTTTATTAATTTATCGCAGGCACAGTTATTAATTCTCGTTTTCTTCGTCAGGGAACGTCGGTCAGATGGAAAATAATATTGGTACATTATGGATGCCCGATTTTAGAAATATTGATATTAACGGTACTGTTTGGTACATTGTGCACTTTCTGTAACGACACACCGTGACAAAACATTTAAATGTCAAAATATACCGAGAATTTCCTCGAAGAACACTGATTTATTCACTGATTTGTTTAGATGGATGCAGATGCAACATAACTGTACGTTTCTAAAGCTTTCGCATTAGTGTGAAGATCTCGAGCGAAAGGTGTATTTATTGCACCTTGGTAGATGAAAACACTTCGTGACGCCTTTAAAAGGTAAGGCTGCATTGTTTTTTCCCCAAGTGCAATTCTATGAAAACTGATTGCAAAAGATATTTTACATTTCGATTATCGAACGATATCGTCAACTTTTGAAACTGAGTTTCTCAAGAATTAATTGTTAATGATAATATTGTGATAGTATTATTATTTCGTTACTTTATTTTATTAATCACACACACATATATACATATTTTTAATATATCTTCAAAAATTCGATAGCATATTCAATTTATTGTACATATTAAATTTTTATCAAAACGTTCTCGTATTCTATAGTTCTTGTATTGTAATTAAGTTTAATATAATTTGCATCTGTTTGCATATTTATAAAACTTTTTACAAAGTATTATTTCTAAAAATTATATTCATAAAATCTGATATTTATCATCTAGAAAAGATGTTTATATATGTATAATAAATATATATGTAACATACCAGCATAGTAGGTGTTTTTTTTTACATAAATATTTTTACATACAAATTTTTAACTTTTTGACGATAATTCGTATTTATCATACGTGAACTCAATTATGATTTTTAAATTACGATAAAATTACATATTAATATGCGTATTAATAATTGCGCATGCGTTGTAAATAATGTCATAAATTCCGCGCCAAAAACTGAAACCTTCGTTTGGATTCGGTATATGTTAATTGTCTAAATATAAATCACTGGTGAACTTTTTGATGGAAAAATAATTTTTTTATTAACTGTTGTAGAAATATTGTTACTGCATTCGTATTTGTATATGGAGATTTTGAAATGTCTCAACACGGTGCTGCTTTGCAAGCATATAATCAAGAACTTGTAAAGTGTAAATTTACATTTATTTATGTATAATTAATATAATTGATAAAGAAAGTCCGGCATATTGTTAATCATTTTATATTAAAATATGAGCATAAAGTAGAAATGAATTGTATAGAATGACACGATGGTATATATAGGTTATAAAACTGATACATATAAATATTTACACATTATTTTATTAATTTTCGATTTTTTAGGTTTAGAAGAAATGAAATTGAGGCGCACGGAGTTACAGGCGGAAATCGAATCTCAGGAAGAAGAAAAAAACCACTTGCAAAGAGAAATAGAAAAGTTATCTTACAAATTAACACGTTTGAATGATAGTTTGACCAAGAAAATAGCGGTCAGAAATGAATATGATAGAACTATTGCTGATACGGAAACAGCATACATAAAAGTATGTTTATTGTTTCTTATATTTTAGAGTGAAAATTAAATTTATGAAAACTTGTTATACAAGTACAAAGTACAACATAAGATGTAATATATGCATATAAATGTGAACAGTTTGCTATGATAGGAATTCATATGAGATTTACTGTCATTACAGATTTTGGAAAGTTCTCAATTGTTGTTAAACATGATCAAGAGAGAAGCAACAAATCTAGACCAAACATTGATTAAAGCTAACATGGACAAACAACAGTGTCAATGATAAATGTAAAATAAAAAATTAAACAGAATGGGAAAAGTGTTTATAAATTTATAAAATATATTTATTTAACTTGTAACTATAGATAGAGACGAATCTATCAATATCAGTTTAACAAGCATAAAATTGTAAATGTTTAATTTATAGAGTTACAATTTATCTTTTAATATTCTTATGTTTATGTGGCGGTATATTTTATTTTTTCATAATGTATAATCTTATTTTTGCATTTGTATTTTTGTTTTTTATGTAAGACTGGTCTTTTTAAATAATTTTATTTTATTGATGAAATTCATGCGAGGTAATTATTTTTATGCAATGTACATTACGTTAACATTAATTATAGTTCTTTGAATATTAGTTATAAATTATACATAACAAATAACTAATACATAGTATTTACAGAAAAGTACTAATTATATTTATTGTAATAACTTACTATGTATATAAAAATTGATTTTATTATATATACAGCTGTTTTTTATAAAACTATTCTTAAATATATTTTATAATAAATTAATTTTATAATAAATTAATGAAAGAACATTCATAAAAATTTATTAATTAATTTTTTGACTTCTCACTAGAGAATGTAATAAAACTGCCATTCAATTTATTGTAGATTTAAATATCTTTTAAATAATAAGAGCACTTAATACTTATTTTTTATAAATGCAGTATTATGATTTGACTTTGAATAATTGTTTTTAAGTAATATACACTTTGAATTACTAATGAAAGTAATTATAATAAATAATGTAGAAAAAAACAAATTCTGATTTCTTTATTCAATGACAAATGATATGGAACCATATGATATTTGATTTTATTTTTAAGTGTTTATACTCTATTCATATTCAAATAAAAATCGTATTAAAAATATTTTGATTGTAGTCAAAAATTTAGGCATTACCAAGAGCTTTTTGTTCGTTCCATATAGTCAATAACTCATTTGGATTTCCATATCCATGAGAAGTTATTACATATTTATAATTAAATTTTGTGTAGTCTTTTTTATGAAAATGAAATTCCTCACAATGAAAAGGTTCTATGTCTGCCTTTTTTGCAACTATGCCTAAAAAAATATCATCAAATTTGAAGTGTTTAGTATAAAGACTAGTATAATACATATCTAAAAGAGCTTCTTTGGATAATATATATGCACCAGCTGTAATATAAGGTGGCCACAAGTGATATGGATATTCGCTAAGAGAAATGTACCATTTGGAAGATTTGTGGCGATGAGGTGAAGATACAAATACAAATCCTGCAAACAACCTAACATCATCCGGAAGTTCAAAATTAAATATTTGCCTTTTCGTTCTATTCATCATAAATGCACTATTATCTTTCTGAAGAGATTTTAAGTTTACACTATTTTGTCTACTGTAATTAATTGCAGGAATTGTATGTAAAGTTCTATTATAAGAATTTTGCTTTAATTTACGAATAATTTGGTCCACGAGATGTTCTTTTCTTCCTAATTTTTCATAAATAAGTGAACTTTTTTCATCAAAAGTATTTTTTTGCGTAATAGTATCATTATCCATTTTATCACTATCTTTAATTTCTCTTTTATGAATACCAATCTTTTTAGGTTCTTTCAAATAATCAGGATAGTTAACTGGATTTCTTATAAATCTTAAAACATTTTTTACAGAAACGTATATATCATCATCAACAAACATATAAAACTTTGAGTTTAGACAATACTTTACTAACCACTTGAAACCCATTATAGTTTTGATAGTATTATTATAATATGTATCTATAAAATCTGCTTGTATGATATCTCTATATTTTGCAGCCTCAATTTTTACTTTTGCTTGAAGTACATCATCATATGGATGTACACCTAACATAAAAATTGTTTTCAAAGGTACATCAAAAAATCGTTTTTCAAAACCCCAAGAATTTCTAATTGCTGATCGTCGTTCAAAATTCTCTATTGAAGATTTTATTACGTAGACAACACGAAATGTACTATACGCAGCGTCTACACATTTCTGTTGGTTATTAAGCAGAAATGTATACTTATATTCATTTATGGGTTCGACAGCAGGTTCTTCATTGTGTCGTAACGCGTTCACAAAATGATGTATATCACCTTCGTACGGATAAACAAAATTTGAATCATATGTAATCTCAAATAAGTGAGTGAATGCTCCAAAAAAGTCAAGCAAAGCAACAAGGCCAATGGAAATGCAAACATAGGTCAACTTGATCTTCGATGTCAAACGAAGGCCTGTTTGAAAACAAGAACGTAACAAGCAATACATCCTTACAAAATGTAGTATTACATAATTTCTGTTTTATTACCTATAAAAGTATATATATTTATATGAATATACATACATATTTATGCCAATAGAACACAAATAAATACTTACACAATTGTCTTGTATATAAATTGTAAGAATATCATTGAAACATACTTCAATGATAAATTTATTGAGATTGTCTGATAAAAGTATAGTAATGTCTCTATTTTATCCTTTAAAGAAATACTTCTAATATATATTACAAATTTTAAATTAACAACTTATAAACAAATTGTGTTGTTCTGAGTACATTGATTTAGATGTTGACATACAAGTTTTTATATACAATGTACAATATTATTATTCAATATTTCAAAGCTGGTACTCTGTTCTATATTCGCTCATAGTGGAGCATTTATCGACTGACAACTTTGATACGTTACCAACCAAATGTAGCAACTATTTAAATTTTCTATCAAAATTTGTGTCGCATTATTAACGTTTAACGTTATGTTAAAGATAAAAGAACAAAGTATATAGAAACGAAATAAATATATTTGTAACTGTAAATCTAAGCAACATTTCGTGTCGATATAATCATTAATAGTTAATAACAATTTTAACAATTATCTTTATTGTGAAAATCTGACACGTAAATACGTATGTTGTAAATCATCGCGACGATATTTTCCTTCTATATCTGTGAAGCTTCAATGGAATATGAAATAAAAGAAATGTTGTCAAATTAAAATTTACATTCGCGAAAAAAAAATTTCTACCTAAACTCGATCCTTGAAGATAGCAGTAATTTTTTTTATACGAGCATACTGTTAATAACTTGTGGAATTGACGTTCGTCCAACGTTGGCAAACCTTCGCTCTGAAGTTAGCTGCGCACTTCAAAAGAATCGGAGCAAAGATGGACTCCTAAGAAATTTTTATACACACCAGTCGTTCGACTTTCGATTTTCTTCGTTAAATTTTCTTGAAACGTTCGGGATTATTCTTATATGACCGAGTCTGCCGTGTGAACGATGATTGTACAGGAACCAGTGCAGGTAATGTTAATAAAGTTGGAGGAAAAACTTGGCAGTGACGTACGATTTTCCATCCGGACGCATCGCACACTTACTGATACTGACATGAGAAATTAAAAACCGTTTGCAGGCGTGTTTGTTATTCGACCGAAAGTTGATCGTCAATTCTGCGCGATATTTTACGGCACTCCGTTAATTCCACGACGTTCTATCATTAATCAAGGTTATCAAGGTTCTAGTTTATTTCATATCGAATATATTTTCGTGCGAGGGTGAACTTCCTTGGGGTTGTTTGCTTTTATGAAATGGTCGTAAATGGGAGGGGATACGACTATAAATAAGTACAGGCATTCATGACATTTATGAATTTTTTGTATTTTATACTCAGGCCAATAAGCTTTTATGAATATCAGCGTCTTACTATGCATTAGTAGTTAACATCAAATACGATGCACTTTTGTAAAGAACACATGTGAAAAATGTGGTTGAGCATTTTTATTGTTAAGCATGTTCTGTCAATATATTGTAACATGCTTGATTGCAGGCGGCCATATGGCATTGTTTAAATCATTATGCTTATCCAGATGCAATATTTTTAGCAGAAAGGTTATGTGCAGAAGGCAAGTTTCTTAATTATAATTTTTATGACATCAGATTTTATGTCTTTGATCTGTCCTTTTATCACTGTGTAATATTGTTGTTTCAGTTGATACAGAAGAAACTTTATTTCTCTTGGCAACATGTTACTACAGATCCGGACGGATTAGGCAAGCTTATGCGTTACTTTCCAAGAAAGCTCCAAATTCTGCACAATGTAGATTCCTCCTAGCCAAGTGTTGTTATGATTTAGAAAAGTAAGTACAAAATCATTTCATTCCCTTATTTTCATGCATCCTACCTAATTCAATATTTCAATTTATAGATATGCAGAAGCAGAAGCGGCAATAATTGGGGGATATTATAAACAATTGAAAAACCTGGAAGAGATTGCAACGCAGTTTGGGGAACATGCGTGCTTTTCACTTCAGATTATAGCGAAGATCTATTACAAGATGATGCGCACAGCAAAAGGAAACGATGCGCATAAATTAGCTTTAAAACTAAATCCATTTCTTTGGCATTCGTTCGAGGAACTGTGTAATGTTGGCGAAGTGGTAGATCCTATAAAAATTTTCCAATTGGATAAATTAGATAATTTTACAATGTGCCATGGTACTACATCTACTCCCACTTACGCAACTGACTCGGACTTTATTGTACCAACAAATAATTTGAATAGTACACCAGCTACAAATGGCACTACTGTGTAAGTGTGCAATTGTTGAAGCATATTTGTATCTTTATATTGTCATGTCACACATGTCTTACAGTACCCCTGCACAAATGACAACGGCATCAACTATAATTAATGGCATTGGGTCTGGTGTACGATTATATTCTTCTACAGATGAAAGTCCACAAAGTTTACCTACGCATTATAATAATTGTCCTTCAATATCACCAAGAGCTAAACTTCCGCGCTACCGTAGTATGTTCAATAATACAATGAGTCCTCTTACTCCGAGCTTTGGTATTCTACCATTGGAGAGCAATACACCTGAACCAACAGTTTTGCCTTCACATACTACCCTTACAGAAGCTAATGATCAGAAGAGTTTAGCAAAACGCGTTAGCAGTTTAAGAGCTCATGTAGGGGTAAGTTTTGAACAGGTATTATTCAATTTTAAATGTGTATTGTATGGTGTACTAAATTATACAGAAAATACTTTTAACTCGCAGCAATTAATGTCAAGAAAAGAAACTCCTCTACAACAAGGGAAACCAGTATTTTCACAATCAGGAAATACAAGTAATAGCGCCAATATTGTAACAGTTACTCCTACTACTCCAACGCCAGCACCACCAACGCTACAAGGTACCAACGTTAGACGTTCATCAAGGCTCTTCAGTCACAGTTATTCAGTCAAGGTAAATTTCTTTGTTTTATTAAAATTTTAATTGTATAATATTGTATTGCATGGCATTATAGATACACTCAATGAGTACATTTAAAGTAATTTTTTTTGTTCTTTAGGAAAATAATAAATCTCCGAATAGAAATAAATTTGCTACTCCGAAATCTCCGTCACGCAAAACAAAAGCTAGACTTTCAAAAACTAACTTAAACAAAGCTAATTTTAATGAATTAAATGAAAGAAATCGAAGTGAAAAAGAAAAAAGTGAAACGATCACATCAGAAAAAGCTGTAGCCAATGTAAATGCATTAAACAATCAGGGTAGTACTAATATCTGTGCAGTAACACTCCAAAAACAGTGTGCTGGTACGTTATTATAACTTCATTTTGAAAAAAATTATTATTTCTAGAGTATTTATAAATATTGCATATATATAAATATTTTCAGAGGGTTTAATGTCACTGCTACAAGAATTAGGAATGGCATATCAATATTTGAGTCAATTTAATTGTAGTCAAGCTGTTGAAATATTAAGTGTTCTTCCGGCACAACATTATAATACAGGATGGGTATTATCTATGTTAGCTCGTGCACATTTTGAAATGGTAGATTATAAGAAAGCTGCCAGGTTGGTATTTGATATACTATGAAATTAAAAAGTTGAAATAGTTGATAAGAAGTTTTATAAGAACTTAGTATTTTCTTGGTAGTTATTTCGCTGAAGTGAGACAATTGGAACCTCAAAGGACTGAACTTATGGAAATTTATAGTACGGTTTTGTGGCATTTGCATGCTGAAGTACAACTCTCTACTCTTGCACAAGAACTTGTTTCCGAAGATCGTAATTCTCCAGCGGCCTGGTGTGCTACTGGGAATCTGTTTTCTGCACAAACGGAACATGAAACAGCAATTAAATTCTTTCAAAGAGCTATTCAAGTACGTTATGTATTTGCATATTGCAATATTGCTTATTAGTATGTTTGAATATTGCGGTAAATTTATATCGACTATAACTTGAAATGAAAGTTTTATTTTTCAAATGTATAATAGGTAGATCCGAATTTTCCATATGCTTACACACTCCTTGGTCATGAATACGTTCTGACAGAAGAATTAGATAAGGCAATTACTGCATTTCGTAACGCCATCAGACTTGATCCTAGACATTATAACGCTTGGTAAGTTTCGTTAAATTACACGTATAAATTTTGTTGGAATCTTATACATAAATAAGCGTGTTTAATATTAAGTTTTGTTATTAGATAAGGTATTATTTTTGTAATAAACAAGATTGTATTTAGTTTAGATTAAGTTTTTCTTATTTTGTAGGTTTGGATTAGGGACCATATTTTCTAAACAGGAGCAATATAGTTTAGCAGAATTGCATTTTCAACGCGCTTTACAAATTAGCCCACAGAATTCGGCAATAATGTGCCACATCGGTGTTGTGCAACATGCACTAAAAAAAACTGATGAAGCTTTGAAGACTCTGAACACCGCGATCACGAATGATCCTGATAATATGTTGTGCAAATTTCATCGTGCAAGTATCAACTTCTCGATTGGTCGGCATACGGAAGCACTTAGGGAATTCGAGGAATTGAAAAACATTGTACCCAAAGAATCTCTAGTCTATTATTCGATAGGAAAGGTAAGCGTTGTTACTGTCATTTTACTTTCACATTTTGTATTCTTTTCTCTGAAGTTGTTTCTTCGTTAGGTACATAAAAAGTTGGGTAATACCGATCTTGCGCTAATGTACTTTAGTTGGGCGACGGACTTAGATCCAAAGGGTGTTAACAGCCAAATGAAAGAAGCTATATTAGGTCCAGGTCAGGGAGACGAAGAATCTCCAGCGACTCAATCAGGTGACTAGATTACAATTACTTATAGTATAAATTTTACATAAATGAAATATTTTTACGTAAAAAATTTTTGATTGGTATTATTATGGCATTTTGTTTATACATATATATATATATATATAAATATACGTATAGACGAACAGCAGATGCGGAATAATTCG